ATATAACGGACTTTATGGAAAGAAGTCCGTTATATCAGGTACGTTAGATGTAACCCTATATAACGGATTATATGGAGAATTGATGATACCTCCCCCCCTTGTGGTATAGCACCTACACACACACACACACGAACATGAATAAATAAAAAGAAACTACTTCCAACATAGCGAACATGACGTCAGAAGAGCCGGTCACTCATCCCCATTTTAAGAGGTAAATTACTATTATGGCTTCTTGGGCGTCATACTAGAGAAAAAATGGTTTTACACTATTATAGGCTAAGTCATGGAGGAGGAGGAAGAAGTGATGGATGAGGAAAAAGAAAAGGGGAGATGGGGAGGAAGAGGAATGTGGAGGAGGAGAATGTGGAAAGAGAGAGAGGAATGTGGAGGAGGAGGAAAGGAATGGGAGAAGAGGGGAGGGAGGAGGAGGAGGAGGAATGTGGAGAAAGAGGAAGGAATGTGGAGGAGGAGGAGAGGAATGTGAAAGGAGAGAGAGAATGTGGAGGAGGAGGAGAGGAATGTGGAGAAGAGGAGGAATGTGGAGGAGGAGGAGGAGAGGAATGTGGAGAAAGAGGAGAGAGATATGGAGGGAGGAGGAGAGGAATGTGGAGAAAGAGGAGAGGAATGTGGAGGAGGAGGAGGGAGAGGAATGTGGAGAAAGAGGAGAGAATGTGGAGAAGAGGAGAGGAATGTGGATGGAGGAGGGAGAGATGTGGAGAAAGGGAGAGGAATGTGGAGAGAGGAGAGGAATGTGGAGAAAGGAGAGGAATGTGGAGAAAGAGGAGAGGAATGTGGAGAAGGAGAGGAATGTGGAGGAGGAGGAGAGGAATGTGAGAGAGGAATGTGGAGGAGGAGGAGAGCCCAGGTAATCTCCATCATCTTACATTATTGATACATAAATAGTAAGAAGGTTGACTCAAAGCGACAGCTACCTCTCCCTGGCACTCCCCCACATGGCATCTCCCTGGCACTCCCCCACCCATGGCATCTCCTGGCCTCCCCCACCATGCATCCCCTGGCACTACATGGCCTTCCCACCCATGGCATCTCCCTGGCACTCCTACCCATGCCTGGCACTATATGGCACTCCCCCACCCATGGCATCTCCCTGGCACTCCCCCACCCTTGCCCGGCACTCCCCACCCATGGCATCTCCCTGGCACTCCCAGGCATCTCCTGCTCCCCACCCATGCCGGCCTCCCCACCTGGCATCTCCTGGCCTCCCCACCCATGCCTCCTTGCACCCCCCCCATGGCATCTCCTGGCACTCCCACCCATGCCTGGCACTATAGCACTCCCCACCCATGGCATCTCCTGGCACTCCCCTACCCATGCCTGGCACTATAGCACTCCCCACCCATGGCATCTCCCTGGCACTCCCTACCCATGCCTGGCACTATGGCACTCCCCACCCATAGCATCTCCCTGGCACTCCCCTACCCATGCCTGGCACTTGCCTCCCCACCATGGCATCTCCTGGCACTCCCTCCACCATGCCTGGCATTACATGCTCCCCCACCCATGGCATCTCCCTGGCACCTCCCCACCCATGCCTGGCACTATATGGCACTCCCCACCCATGGCATCTCCCTGGCACTCCCCACCCATGCCTGGCACTATGGCACTCCCCCACCCATGGCATCTCCCCGGCACCTCCCACCCATGCCTGGCACTATATGGCACTCCCCACCCATGGCATCTCCTGGCACTCTCCTACCCATGCCTGCACCATGGCACTCCCCCACCCATGGCATCCCCTGCACCCTCCACCCATGCCTGGCACTATATGGTCCCCCACCCATGGCATCTCCCTGGCACTCTCCCTACCCATGCCTGGCACTATATGGCACCCCCACCCATGGCATCTCCCTGGCACTCCTCCCTACCCATGCCTGGCACTATATGGCACCCCCACCATGGATCTCCTGGCACTCCCCACCCATGGCATCTCCCGCACGCCCCCATGGCATCTCCCTGGCCTCCACCCATGGCATCTCCTGGCACTCCCCACCCATGGCATCTCCTGGCACTACATGGCACTCCCCACCCATGGCATCTCCCTGGCACCCCCCACCCATGGCATCTCCTCACTCCTCCTACCCATGCCTGGCACTATATGGCACTCCCCACCCATGGCATCTCCCTGGCACCTCCTACCCATGCCTGGCACCATATGGCACTCCCCACCCATGGCATCTCCCTGGCACCTCCCTACCATGCCTGGCACTATATGGCACTCCCCACCCATGGCATCTCCCTGGCACTACTCCTACCCATGCCTGGCACCATATGGCACCCCCACCCATGGCATCTCCCTGGCACTCCTCCCTACCCATGCCTGCACTATATGGCTCCCCCACCCATGGGATTCCCTGGCACCCCCACCCATGGCATCTCCCTGCACCACATGGCACTGCCCATGGCATCTCCCCACCCCCCACCCATGGCATCTCCTGGCACTCCCCACCCATGGCATCTCCCTGGCACTACATGGCACTCCCCCACCCATGGCATCTCCCTGGCACTCCCCACCCATGCATCTCTCACACTCTACCCATGCCTGGCACTACATGGCACTCCCCCACCATAGCATCCCAACACTCCCCCACCCATGGCATCCCCTAACACTCCACCCATGCATCCCCTGACACTCAACCATCCATGGCATCCCCTGGCACTCCCCCACCCATAGCAACCCCTGACATGCCCACATCCCTAGCATTCCCCATGACACTTCCCCACCCATGGCACCTTTGGCACTTCCCCACCCATCATCCCTTGCACTATATGACACTCCCCAGGCACCAAGTGACACACGGTATCGACCCGCTGTCAGCCACTACTGTTAGTTACTACGTGAACAAGACGACGTCACTACAGACACTTGTAAAGAGCTACTACTCCCTAACCTACCCCTGCACTAACCTACCCTACACTAACCTACCCTACTCTAACCTACCTTCCTTAACCTACCCTACACTAACCTACCTTTCCAACCTACCCTAACACTAACCTACCCTACTCTAACCCACCTTCCTTAACCCACCCTACACCAACCTACCTTCCTTAACCTACCCTACACTAACCTACCTTTCCTTAACCTACCCTACTCTAACCTACCTCCTAACTCCCCCACACTAACCTACCTTTCCTAACCCACCCTACACTAACCTACCTTTCCTTAACCTACCCTACACTAACCTACCCTACTCTAACCTACCTTTCCTTAACCCACCCTACACTAACCTACCTTCCTTAACCAACCTACTCTAACCTACCTTCCTCAACCTACCCTACACTAACCCACCCTCCTAACCCACCCTACACCAACCTACCTTCCTAACCCACCCTACACTAACCTACCTCACTTAACCCACCCTTAACCACACCCTACACTAACCTACCTTTCCTTAACCTCCTACACTAACCCCTACTCTAACCACCCAACCCCACCAACCACCCAACACCCTACCTCCTACCTTCAACCTCCTACTAACCACCCTACACTAACCACCTTTCTTTAACCTACCCTAAACTAACCCACCTTTCCTTAACCTACCCTACACTGACCTACCTTTCCTTAACCTACCCACACTAACCTACCTTCTAACCACCCTACACTAACCTACCTTTCTTTAACCTACCCTACACTAACCTACCTTTCCCCAACCTACCCTCCACTAACCTACCTTTCCTTAACCTACCTTACACTGACCTACCTTTCCTTAACCTACCCTACACTAACCTACCTTTCCTTAACCTACCCACTAACCTACCTTCCCTACACTAACCTACCCTACACACTCCCTACACTAACCTACCCACTAACCTACCCCCTAACCACCCTACACTAACCTACCTTCCTAACCTACCCTACACTAACCCACCTTTCCTTAACCTACCTACACTAACCTACCTTTCTTAACCTACCTACACTAACCTACCTTCCTAACCACCCACAAACACCCACCTACCACCCAACCTGCCCACACTAACCTACCTCAACCCACCAACCTACCAACTACACTAACCTACCTTTCCTTAACCTACCCTACACTAACACTTTCCTTAACCTACCCTACACTAACTCACCTTTCCTTAACCTACCCTACACTAACCTACCTTTCCTTAACCTACCCTACACTAACCTACCTTTCCTTAACCTACCCTACTCTAACCTACTTTTCCTTAACCTACCCTACACTAACCTACGTATCAATAACTCCCACATGGTCCTTATGCCCTTCTACCACGATAACATAATGCCCTACTTATAAGCCAAATAACAAAAGATTAATAAAATTATTATCTTATTTTCACTCATCACGTCAACACTTATGGTAGTAATTATAAATAACATCAAGTAGAGGATTATTTTCACAGTGAGTTATAAGAAGTTTTAGGTATTTATACTTTAGTGAAAATAATAAAATAGTGACGTTTATAAGTGGACACACACACACGCACGCACGCACACACACACACACACGCACGCACGCACACACACACACGCACGCACGCACACACACACACAGTTCAAATGACGAGGAAAACATTGTATTATTGAGTTTAACAGCAGAAACATGCAAAGGTCAGCGGATATGAACACTGAACAATGGTGCATGGAACAGTAAAGAACAGTGAACAAAGGAACAATGAGTAAGAAACTAAACAACGAATAAGGATCAGTGAACAAAGAAAATGAACAAGGAACAGCACTTGAACAATGAGCAAAGAACAATGAACAATGGAACAGTGAACAAAGAAACAAGGAACAGTGAACAAAGGAACAAGGAACAGTGAACAAAAGAACAGTGAAAAATGAGCAAGGAAGTGAACAGAGAACAGTGAACAATGGAAAAAGGAACAGTGACCAAAGGAACAAGTGAACAACGAATAAGGAACAGTTAACAAAGAACACTGAACAAGGAACTGAACAATGAGCAAGGAAGTGAACAACGAATAAGGAACAGTGAACAAATGAACAAGGTACTCACAGCATAGTTGAACTGTGCGTTGAACTCAGGATTATTGGCCATGATCCGACGCTCAGTCTCTGCAGGGGGGGAGGAGGAAACATACCTGGTGATTACCTGTCATCTTATTATTATTGATATTATAATTATTATACTGTATATACCTTAACTTACCACGACCCCACCATCATACCAAGACCCCATCATCATACCAAGACCCCATCATCATACCACGACCCCATCATCATACCACGACCCCACCATCATACCAAGACCCCATCATACACGACCCCATCATCATACCGCCCACATCATACAACCATCATCCCCACACCATCATCATACCACGACCCCATCATCATAACACGACCCCATCATCATACCAGACCCACCATCATACCACGACCCCACCATCATACCAAGACCCCACCATCATACCAAGACCCCATCATCATACCAAGACCCCATCATCATACCACGACCCCATCATCATACCACGACCCCATCATCATACCACGACCCCATCATCATACCACGACCCCATCATCATACCACGACCCCATCATCATAACACGAACCCATCATCATACCACGACCCCATCATCATACCACGACCCCACCATCATACCACGACCCCATCATCATAACACGACCCCATCATCATACCACGACCCCATCATCAGTTCTGGTGCCCTTATTATAAAGTGGATATCAATTCACTGGAGTCGGTGCAGCGAAGAATGACGAAAATGATTCCGGGACTTAGAAACCTTCCATATCAGGATAGGTTAAAGAAACTAAACTTGCATTCCCTAGAAAAACGAAGAGTGCGGGGAGATATGATAGAAGTATTTAAGTGGGTGAAAAGGAATCAATAAAGGGGATAGAGATAATGTTCTTATAATATCCGAGCAGGATAGGACTCGAAGCAACGGATTTAAGTTGGATAAGTTTAGGTTTAGGAGGGAGATAGGAAGAAACTGGTTCATAAATAGGGTGGTGGACGAGTGGAACAAGCTTAGCAACTTTGTAGTAAGTGCTGGAACTCTGGAAAGTTTTAAAAGGAGGCTGGATAGATTAATGGATGATAGAGAGTGGTTGTAACTCTCGACAGGAGCTGACATGCACAGGCCAACCGGCCTATTGCAGATTCCTCATTTTCTTATGTTCTTATCATACTACGACCCCACCATCATTCTACGACCCCATCATCATACCACGACCCCACCATCATTCTACGAACCCATCATCATACCACGACCCCACCTTACCAACTAAACTTTACCAGTAACTCTCCTTCGCAAAAATTTTAACAATTACAAACCGGAAGAAAAAAAACACGGAAAAAAGCGAAACAAACACACAGACGAATGCTTTACTAACGTGACTGTGTTTGTGGTGAGTCAAGGTCACTGTTCACTCCTATGTTAGCCTGAACAGTGAACAAGAACCCAAACATGAAGAACATTACTAACACTACCACGTTAATGCGGTTTACAAGTGTGATGTGTTCATTTGAGTACGAGAAGGTACTCTAGAGGGGGTTTAAGACATTGTACGCAAGGGGGTAAGTCGTCTTCACACACACACACACACACACACACACACACACACACACACACACACACACACACACACACACACACACACACACACACACACACACACACACACACACACACACACACACACACACACACACACACGCGAGCGCGGAAATGCCAGGAAATGACAAAAGTCGATCAAGGAAAAATGCTTTATGAAGAGAAATACAACATCACGTGTGTGTTGTGTGGTGCTCCAGGTCACCTCCTTACAAATGAAGTGAAGTGACCTGACCTGACCTGACCTAACCTAACCCACCAGTCGTATAATTGCACCTGGCGTGACTAGTGGCACCGTCTACCTGGTGAAACTACTAATCAAGGTGCCTCCTTGTCTTTGCATTACTCACGCCAATCTTCATAGTTATACTGTGTACTTCTGTCTCACTTGCTTTACCTTAAATTAACCTAAAATATCCTTAAATTAATCGAAAATATCCTTAAATTAATCTAAAGTATCCTTAAGTTAACCTAAAATATCCTTAAGTTAACCTAAAATATCCTTAAGTTAACCTAAAATATCCTTAAATTAACCTAAAATATCCTTAAATTTACCTAAAATATCCTTAAATTAACCTAAAATATCCTTAAATTAACCTAAAATACCCTTAAATTAACCTAAAATATCCTTAAATTAACCTAAAATACCCTTCAATTAACCTAAAATATCCTTAAATTAACTTAAAATATTCATAACTTAACATAATGTAACTAAACATGAATAAGATACAAAACATATATACATACATAAACATACATAGTTCACATACATACATACATACACTCGCTCACGCATACACACACACACACCTACATGCGTACATAATCAAATATGCACGTACATATAAAACACACACACACACACACACACACAGTCTTGGGGTATACTATAATGACCTGCTTACGTCTACTGTTGTTGTTTTTTCATACAGCTCATCGGCCATTATAACACGCTCGCCTTCACCATCCCCGACACTACGGCTCTACTACCACCTGAGATCCCCTTGTCCGAGGTGCTGTTCGACACCTGGCCACGGCATCCAGCCCATACATTACTGCAGGCAGTCTCGCTATAAGAACAGCCCAGTCCCAACCATTGTAAAATTATCAATAACCTTAATAAATCAGTGTATTCACTCTGATAAACACTGCTCTAATCACTATGTTGAAATGAACTGTAATTTGAGCTTTTTCCCCCATCTAGGTTATTATATATCTTATTTACATGTCCTTATATTATATATATATTACAACAATTCGTAACCCATTCCCCAAATATGTAACTGTATATTTTCAGCCTTATAGCCCTTAAACTCTTTCAATAAACCGTTAGTATTATTATTATTACATACTGTATACACACATAAGACATACACTCGCTCACGCATACACACACACACCTACATGCGTACATAATCAAATATGCACGTACATAAATAAACCTACAAACTTACTTACATACAAACACACACACACACACACACACACACACACACACACACACACACACACACACACACACACACACATACAAACACACTATATAATACGTTACAAAAGAACCTGTACCTGTATCCGTACCTGAACTTGTACCTGTACCCGTATCTGCACCTGTACTTTATAACTTAACCTGTACCGTTATTTCTATGTCACTCTGCCCAGCTATCGACAACAACGGCAAACTCATCTTTGTCAGTCAACGGCAAACGCATTTACGCCAGTCAACGCCAAACGCATTTACGCCAGTCAACGCCAAACACATTTACGCCAGTCAACGCCAAACGCATCTACGCCAGTCTTCTCATGCCGCTGTTCATTATTTCCTGGAACAAGGCCCATTACTATATATTGCCAAGCCGACCAGAGACGACCATAAGTTTCCGGGGGGATTCAGTTGATGAGAAAAGTTGACGACAGAGCAACACAACTCAACACAACACACACAAAACATCATAACACAACACAACACAACACAACACAACACAACACAACACACACAACACAACACAAAAACACGTTATATTAAAGGCGTTCTGCAACTGCCCACACTCAATAGATAAAAGAATCCAGACTACATTATTTTACTTTTTTTTTATTTACGTTTAGTACTTGGAATTTGTGATACCATGAAGATTATACACCACAGATTATTCCACCCGATGATTAAACACCCAAGGTCAGGTCAGGTCAGGTTAGGTTAAGGTTAGGTTAGGTTAAGGTTAGGCTAGGTTAGGGTTGGTTTAGGTCAGGTTAGGTTAGGTTAGGTCAGGTGAGGTTAAGTTAGGGTTATTTTAGGTTAGATTGCGTCAGTTACATTAAATTATGTTAGGTCAAGCTAGGTCAAGTCAGGTCAGGTCATGTGCTTATTTACCAGGTGAAATAAACAAAGGTTCCTATTCTCCAAGAGTTTACCCCCCCCCACACACACACCATTTACACCAGCTATATAAAACTTAAAAAAAAACTCCCGAGGGAAAAAAAAAATAATATACCAACATTTTTCACATTTTACTTTTACAGGAAAATCTATTCAGGATTGAGGAGTGAGTGTTGGCAGAGAGGCCAGGCCGGACGTGTGCAGTTTATCCCACTTGACTTAACATAACGAGAACAGTTGGTCACGGCAGGAGAGTGAACTACAATAGGTCCTCCTACTTCAGTATGTTCCTAAACCCAGAGTCTGCTGTGAGAGATATAGAACCTACAGTCTGCTGTGACAGATATAGAACCTAGAGTCTGCTGTGAGATAAAGAACCTAGAGTCTGCTGTGAGAGATATAGAACCCAGAGTCTGCTGTGAGAGATATAGAACCCCGAGTCTGCTGTGAGAGATATAGAACCTAGAGTCTGCTGTGACAGATATAGAACCTAGAGTCTGCTGTGAGGGATATAGAACCCAGAGTCTGCTGTGAGAGATATAGAACCTAGAGTCTGCTGTGAGAGATATAGAGCCCCGGGGTCTTAACAGCCAGGAGATATAGAACCTAGAGTCTTGCTGTGACAGATATAGAACCTAGAGTCTGCTGTGACAGATATAGGGAGCAGGAGTGCTGCTGTGAGAGATATAGAACCTAGAGTCTGCTGTGAGAGATATAGAGCCTAGAGTAACCCAGAGTCTGCTGTGAGAGATATAGAACCTAGAGTAAACCAGAGTCTGGTGTGAGAGATATAAAACCTAGAGTAACCCAGAGTCTGCTGTGAGATATAGAACCTACAGTCTGCTGTGAGAGATATAGAACCTAGAGTCTGCTGTGACAGATATAGAACCTACAGTCTGCTGTGAGAGATATAGAACCCTGAGTCTGCTGTGAGAGACATAGAACCTAGAGTCTGCTGTGAGAGACATAGAACCCAGAGTCTGCTGTGAGAGATATAGAACCCAGAGTCTGCTGTGAGATATAAAAACAGACAAAGCTTGGATTGAATACACCGCCAGAGTCAATATTAGAGTGTCATACGCAGTTACTTATCTCCCCA